AAAAAAAAAATTGTTACAAAAAACAACAAGGTATATATTAAAATTTTTTTATTACATTATTTTGAGTTGGTTGTTTGATTGCGCTATGATTTTTTTAAAAATTTATCTAGATGGAAAAGACTTTTGTTCAATTTTTCCAAATTTGATTTTTCCAAATTGATTTTTCCAAATATTGGTTTTCAAAATAAACTTTATTCCAAAAAGATTTTATCGTTGTACCTCATCAAAAGTCAACTTAATCTTGTTAAAACGGAAACTCAAGCTGAATCTTTAAAATCAGTTACTGAACTGTTTATTTAAACTCAAAAAAAAATTCTTAAACTATATTGATTCCAATCATAAAAAGTCAGTTTAACTTATGATTAAAAAGAAGCATATAAATATGAAGCAAATAGATGTTGAAGAAGATCCATTGTCATATTGGAACTCAATAAAAAGTGAGTTACCAATACTAGCAAACCTGGCAAAGGTTAATTTTCAAAAGGTTAAGTTTCAAAATTTATGTTTACCTCCAAGCTCAACTACAAGTGAAGGTAAGTTTAAAGTTTCGAAATCAATACATCAAGAACGAATTAGACTCAAAACAAAAAATCTTAAAACACTTCTTTTTTTAAAATACAATTCAAGAGCACTTTCATATGCTACATCTTTATGTGGGGCTGATGAAGACTTTGTACCACCTAATTCAAACTATTACGATGTATGGGATACTGAATCTTCAGACTCCGATGAAAAAACAGATTTTCAATAAAATAGCTACTTTTTTACTTAATCTTGAAAATTTTTATTGTAAATTATTATATTATAAGTATAATATATATGCAATTTATATTTTTAAAATATAATAATAATAATAATAATAATAATAATAATAATAATAATAATAATATATATATATATATATATATATATATATATATATATATATATATATATATATATATATATATATATATATATATAATTTCCGCTTCCAACAAGGCTGCAAGCAACCACTAGTTAATGTTGGAAGTTACTGGAAGAGAAAAGATGAAGATTGTAGAGCAAGATAACGATTGACAGACGACTTAAAAGATTGCAAATTGTTGTTATATATATATATATATAATTGTTGTTTGTGACTTTAATGCTCATCACACTGAATGGGTTGGCTCTAGTGTCAGTGACTCTGCTGGCATTAAGGCCCTAAACTTTTGTGATTTTCTTCGTGATTGCCCTTTGTTAAAAATCTTCCATATGCCCGCTGACAATTATGCTGCTGCAATTTCTAATCAAAACCATTAATTCCATATACATCAGCAAAACAATTCTCCAGAAAACAGATGCCTGTTTTATTATTGCTAGAAACCATTGTAAAAAGGTTTTGTCTAACGCAAAAGCTCGCTATTCTCAGGTCATAAAATCTTGTATTTCATCAAAAATATTAGGCTCTCGTGACCTCTAGAGAATCTTTAACATTATCAATAATAAGGGAAAATCTGCTATTCCACCTCTCTCGTATTGTTCAGACTTTGTCAACTCACCTAAAGTCAAAGCTGAATTATTTGCTTTTCAACAATATCATCTTGACATTTTTATCAAGCTTGACATTTTTATCACTTCTGCTTAGACTCTACAGCTTGTGGACAACATACCTGTTGTAGTCTTGCAGAAGAGTTATCTTAAATGACATATTTAAAACTTTCAGTCGCGATAAATAACCCTCCTGGTGGGATAAAGATAGCTAAATGACAAAAAACATGTTTAAAAGGTGTAAAAGATGTAATACTAACTATATTACTAATTAAACGCGTCTTTTATCCATAGGTAGCGACTAGCTAGATATTTGCTGGCTAGTCGCTAGCTCATTTTCCACCAGGCTCGTTCATCTTGTAATGAGAGTTTAAAATCAGGCCGGCTAAAGAGTTTGGAATGGAGAAAATAATAAGTTGTTTAATTGAATTTTTTATAAAAAAAATTATTGTTAAAAATATTTAGTAAAGATAAAACTTGTTTAATTTTAAAAGTAAAATTTTGTCTTCCTTCTATTAATAAAGCAGTAATTTAAAATATTATCATTACGTCACTTGCATTAATGTAGATCCCATGTTTAAGTTTTGCACTAACGTAAATATGAAAAGTTTGAAGTTGTTACAGTTGAGAACATTTTTAATTTAGTAAAAATGTCGAGATGATAGATTATTAATCGTTTTTCATCGTGTAACTTATAAATGTAAAGTTAAAGAATTAACAGCAATTATAGTTACGCTTACTTAACTTTATGCATTTTGAAACTAAACATGAAATTAACTTGCTGAATAGGAAATTGTCCCAAGATGCAGCATCATCATCGGATTTTTTTTATGATTTTTTTTACACCACTGATCCTGCTGGCACTAAATCCTTTAGCTTCTGCGTTTCTCAATCTCTTACTCAGATAGTTAACTTTGTGACTCGTTTTCCTGACAACCCTAATCATTTACCTTCACTCCTTGACTTATGTCTTGTCTCTGACCCTAGCTTATGTTCAGTTTCTCCCTTTTCTCCCTTAGGTGGTTCTGATCATGCAATGATCTCTATAAATCTTTCTTCTCGTACTTCTTTTTTGGGCTCACCTTATCATCGCACCACCTACTACTACCCTAAAGCTGACTGGGATTCCCTTTGTGATTTTCTTCCTGATGGTACTTGGGCTGATGTTTTTTCTCTCTCAGCTAAAAAATGCGCCTCCTACGTAACCTGGATTCAAGCTGGAATGGAAGCTTTTATTCCTTCGCGTCGGTTTTAAGTCAAGCCTCATTCTACTCCATGGTTTTGTGCGGCTGCTATATCCAATCGTTATCATTTTTTTCATCTTTTTCAAAAGAACAACTCTCTTGAGAACAAATGGCTATTTATTATTGCAAGAAATCGTTGTAAAAAGGTGCTTTCTGATGCTAAACTCCATTATTCTCAGTTCACTAAATCTCGCATCTTATTGCAGAAGTTAGGCTCTTTTGGAAAATCTTCAACAGCATTATTAACAAGGGTAGATCTAACATTCCATCTCTCATTCATGGGACTGATCTTATTACCTCTCCAAAGGATAAGGCAGAACTATTTGCAAAGAACTTTTCTTCTAATTCCACTCTTGAATCTTATGGACATTCTCTTCCTTCCATTCCAGTCAAACAGGTTGACCATTGTTAGGCATTCAAATCACTCCGGCTTCTGTTGCTAAAGTCATATCTCAATTAAACTCATCTACAGCTTGTGGTCCAGACAACATTCCTGTCACAGTCTTGCAAAATTGTTCTCCAGAACTTTCTTCAATTCTCTCTAAACTATTTAACAAGTGTTTGACTGAGTCTTGTTTTCCTGCTTGTTGGAAAATGGCATCTGTGGTTCCAATATTCAAAAACTCTGGAGAAAATTCTGACCCCTCCAATTATCGTCCGATCAGTCTTCTTTCTGTTATTAGAAAGGTCTTTGAGTCTTTGATCAACAAATTCCTCACATCTCATCTTGAAACAAATTAACTACTGTCAGACAATCAATACGGTTTTCGATCCTCTCGCTCTATGGCTGACTTGCTAACTGCTGTAACTGAAAGATTTTATTGTGCATTAGATGGAGGCAGTGAGGCTAGGGCTATTGCTCTCGACATATCTAAAGCTTTTGACAAAGTTTGGCATGCTGGTCTTCTCCATAACCTTGCTTCAAATGGTGTTTCTGGGAAAATTTTTGAGATTATCAAATCATTTCTTTCTAACCGGTTTATTAAAGTCATCCTTGAAGGCCAACACTCTTCTTTATTTCCAGTAACTTTTGGGGTTCCCCAAGGTTCCATCCTGGGCCCTGTTTTGTTTCTTATCTACATAAACAATCTTCCTGACAACCTTTTATCTAAAGTAGCTCTTTTTGCTGATGACTCAACTTTATACTCCTGTCTTGACAAAAAGTCTTCTCTTTTCGATCGCCTAGAACAAGCAGCTGATCTTGAATCCGATCTCACTTCAGTAATAGTTTGGGGTTCACAGTGGCTTGTGAATTTCAACTCTAACAAAACCCAGTTGTTTACTGCAAACAACTAACGTAATACGGTCAACATTCCTATATTAATGAATGGCAATCCTCTTACTGAGTCGTCCTCTTTACGTCTTCTTGGATTATCGCTTACTCTGACCTTTCATGGAAACTATATATACAATCAATTGCTAAATTAGCTTCTGTTAAGGTTGCTTCTCTTTATCGTGCTGGCCATTTCCTTACTTCTGATTCCATTCTCTACCTCTACAAATCTCTTATTCGTCCCTGTATGAATACTGTTGTCATATTTGGGCTGGTTTTTCTAACAATTCACTTTCTCTTCTTGACAAGGTCCAAAAACGCATTGTAAATGTTGTTGGACCTGGACTATCTGCTAAGCTTGAACCTCTTTCCCATCGTCGTAAAGTTGCATCTCTTTCTCCTTTCTACAAATACTATCATGGTCACTGCTCAAAGGAGTTATCATCTCTAGTTCCATCAACTAAAATTTATTCTCGTTTTACTCGTTATTCAGCTAAGTCTCATTTGTTTACTGTATCTGTCCCTGCATGCTCTAAAAACTTTTATTCCTCTAGTTTTTTTTCCCCGCACTTCAATCCTTTGGAACTCTCTCCACTCTTCATGTTTTCCTGACTCATACAACCTTGAACTTTTCAAGTCTTCTGCCCGTTTCCTTGCTCTATAACTCTGTTCTTGTTTTTCCTAGTAACTCCCAACTTAATAGTGGTTGCTTGCAGCCTTGTTGGGAGTGAATGCAAATAAAAAAAAAAAAAAAAAAAAAAAAGTACAAAAATTTTAGTTATAAACATAAAAGAATTTAAGTGTACAATTTTTTTTTTATGTGAACAGTTTTTTTTTTTTTTTGCATACTGTACATAATTTTATAACATAATATTGCTTTAAAAAGTTTTAGTTTTAAAAAAGCATCAGAAAGTATAAGAAAAAAGTGTAGAAAAACGTTTTCATTTGAAAAAGTAAAAACAAAAAATAACCTGAGATGCAAGTTCTCTGGATGGCTGAAAAAATAAAAAAAAAACAATTTCAAAATTAACAAAAAATCAATATTACACTAATGCAATATAATTAAGTCATATTAATAATGAGTCAACAGATAAGATAATAGATTTAGATAATCAAAAACATCTTATACAGTTAATAAAATAACTTCTTATTTTCTGATCGTCATAAATTAAAACTTTTAACAAAACTCCAATATTGTACACTATTTTAGGTTATATATATATATATATATATATATATATATATATATATATATATATATATATATATATATATATATATATATATATATATATATATATATATATATATATATATATATATATATATATATATATATATATATATATATATATATATATATATATATATATATATATATATATATCATCATCATCATCATCAGCGCTCAAAATAGTTTTTCAAAGCTTGGCGATCAAATGTAATTTTGAAAAACAGGTTATTTGCCCTTGAATTTTTCGAAATATCTCTAAAAATAGCCAATCATTGATTGTTGATTAGCCGTTATTTTGAGCGCTGATATATATATATATATATATATATATATATATATATATATATATATATATATATATATATATATATATATATATATATATGTATATACCTACATACATACATACATACATTTATATATATATATATATATATATATATATATATATATATATATATATATATATATATATATATATATATATATATATATATATATATATATATATATATATATACATATATATATATATATATTGTAGGTAACTTCTACTATATAGCTTCCCCTCCCCCTCCTCTATGTATTTTATCTCTATGAGGTACCGATCTAATTTTTAAAACTTAAACTATCATGTAAGAACACAATGCATAGAACAAATATATATAGATATATGATATATATCATATATGTTTATATGCCATATACATATATGATTTTATTTACTAAGTTGCTTTCTAAATCTCATGCATAATTTCTAAATCTACATGCATAAATATAAATGAAGATATTTTTTTTAGATGTACTAAGTTTGTTATTAGTTTTTATCAACTAGTTATCTCTGAACCAAATGATTAAATAAACAAAGTTTTGAATATTATTGTGAATTTCAGAATAAAAATATATTATATGAAAAAACCTTTAAATTAAAATTTGAACTAATTAAAACTATAAAAAATTAAAAAAATCATACCTCAATGATAAGAGCAGCAGGAGAAGATTTGTTTGTATACTTTTTTGAAACAGACACTAAACAAAAATTATGTTAAAAAATGAAAAATTCATTTAAAATTGTTTTAAATAGGAACTTGGTTTAGTACCCTTGAATAATATGTTTTCCATATTCTGAGTTACTGTCGGAAAAAAAGCTTCTGCAATTTTTAATAACCATTTTGTAAAAAATGGTTATTAAAAATTGAAAAATCACAAATCACAAAATCATAGAAAAATTAGTAGGATTAAGAATTTTTTTGTTTGTGTTCTATTTTATGTACATTAGTTGAGTTTTTAAATTTTTCAGATTTAAAAGAAAATAAATTTTGTAAGTTACTTATTAATTTAAAAAAGCTTAAATAAGTTTAGAAGAAAAAAATAACAATAAAAATAATAAAACAAATCAAAATTTGTCTTAATTACTTTGAACTACTAGTCTTACTAACCTTGAGTTATTGTTTTTTTCAGATTAAAACATTTTCATGCAAAAATATAATGATAATTAAATAAATCTAGCTTGCAACAATTAGCGAAATAGTCCTAATTTAGCATAATTTAAAGATAAAGGAATCATTTTAAGGGAATCATTTTCAGACCGTTTTTAAAGGGACTACCAAGTCCCAAGACATGTTGCGTTCATATTAAAGAGAATGTTAAAAAAAAACGTCTGAGCAAATTTTTTTTGATTAAACTAATTAATAAATGTATACCAAGAAAAAACAAATCTTGTTGTTTTAGTCGAAGCTCGTCTTCTCCATTTTCTCTGGTATTTTGAGTATGTAAAATAAATGTGATTTTCCAGGCGCATTATAAAGACTTGATAATTTATTCAAGCGTTTAATTCATAGGAGTTTTAGTGCATGATGTCATAGATTTTTTTTTTGTTTGTTTAAAACACCGATTGTAATTTTTTACATACAATTTCCAAATCATATTCATTTTTATTATATTTTAAAGTTCTAAAATGTGTTTGTAATTGTATGTAAAAAATAACAATCAGTGTTTTAAACAAACAAACAAAAAAAATCTATGACATCATGCACTAAAACTCCTATGAATTAAATGCGATTGAATAAATTATCAATTCTGTATAATGCGCCTGGAAAATCGTGTTTATTTTACATACTCAAAATACCAGAGAAAATGGAGAAGACGAGCTTCGACTAAAACAACAAGATTTGTTTTTTCTTGGTATACATTTATTAATTAGTTTAATCAAAAAAAATTTGTTCAGACGTTTTTTTTTTAATATTCTCTTTAATATGAACGCAACATGTCTTGGGACTTGGTAGTCCCTTTAATAGTCAACAAAACTGAATCTTGTTTTTTTTTTTTTTTAATATAAATTTATTGACTTTTTAAAAACTCATAAAATCATCATTTTTTTTGTGCTTTTATACACGGATACTTTATTACATAAGTTAAAAAAAAGTTAAAAAAAAAATTATTTTATATGTAAGCATTAAATTGAACTAATTTCTTTTAAATTTTATACAAGAGTATTATTAAAGTTTTAAAAAAGTTTATTTATTGTAAATAAATTTTTAATATATTTTTTAGCCTTAAAAAAAATTTCTACAACAAATATATGGAAAATCATATAACTACCATTTAAAAAAGTATTACATTACTCGTAGAGAATTAAATTTTGAAAATAAAACAATTAAACTTTTGGTAATAAAGAAATAAAAACGAATTAAAAGAACATACATTTTTTTGACAATGAAACATCTTTAGCTTTAGATAATGGAAGATAGGTGGAATGAGGGGTAGCATGTTTGAAGGGAGTATCTCCAAAATTGAATAAAAGCTCAGCATTCTAAATAAATAATTTTGACAAAACTCTAAATTTTTCTAAAAAAATTTATTTTAATAAACTTAATAAAAAAATCAAATAAGTTGATTGCATAATCATTAAATGTTTAAAAACTTTTTAAAAAATTTCACTAAACACCTTTAATTTCAACTTTAATTTCACTAAACACCTTTAATTTCAACTTTAATTTCACACCTTTAATGTAACTTTAATTTCACAACTTTAACATAACTTTAATTTCATACCTTTAATGTAACTGAAGCAAAAAATGATGAGCCATAAAGTAACTTTAATTTCATACCTTTAATGTAACTGAAGCAAAAAATGATGAGCCATAAAGTTTTTTTGGAATATCAAAAGCATGACCTAAATCTTTTCCTAAATATTAAGGAACAAAATGTTAGAAAACTTCTAAAACTTATTATACAAACATTCTTAGTTTCAATAACTTACCATTTTTACTGTACTTTATAGTTCCATTATCCAAATCGATAAAGCAACCAATAATGTCATTTTTACCATATGGCTGCAAAAAGAAGATAATTTAAAAATATAAGAAAAAAAAAACTGTGATTCTTTATGTGTGTCAGTCCATTTAGCACACACAAATTAAGCAAAATATATATATATATATATATATATATATATATATATATATATATATATATATATATATATATATATATATATATACATATATATATATATATATATACATATATATATATATATATATATATATATACATATATATATATATATATATATATATATATATATATATATATATATATATATATATACTCAGTGGTAACAACAGACTTGGGGGCCCCTGGACAAAAATATTTACAGAGCCCTAAACTTTTTTAAAATCTCATATAAAACTATGCAAAATTTTGTTTTTAAATTTTTGCTCCAAAATATAAGAAACTTTTCATTCAGCAAATTTATTTACACACAACTTTTTATTTGCAAAATTTTTAATGACATTTTGTTTGTCAAAAAGTGTTTTCAATCGCTAGTAAAGCCAATCCATAAAGTTGATATTGAGGAACTGTTGAATGTAGGTAGGTTTTATGACCATTCACACAATACAACATTCACTGGAAGTATTACAAAGAAAACACATGCTGTTGCTAATTCTATCATTGAAGCAATTAATTTTAGTTTGGTTAAGAAGAAAGATAAAAGTTAAAATCTTGAATATTATGTTCTTGTAGTAATTCGTCATGAAATAATCTGACATTTCTTATCCGAATATTTGCAAAATGGGTGTTTCCTTCTTGTGGGTTTGAAGTTAAAATTATGTTTTTCCATGTTGAAAAATACCTTTAATCATTTCCATTTTTCACAAGTCCTTATGAAATTCTTGCTGGTATGAGCAATCTTCTCGTACAAGATTATCATCCACATTATAAAGGTATGAAATTTAGTTGCCGCAAAGTTTCATTTCAATATGCAACAAACTCTTGAAATGATAAGGATGAAAAACTTGAACAAATTGGTAACTTGTTCAATAATAGAAAAAAAATCATTCACTTTACACAAAAGTTTGCTATCTTGAATCCTATGATCTTGTAGGAAGTCATCATGAAATAATCTGGCATTTCTTTTCCGGGTGTTTGAGAAAGGCGGTGTTCTATTTTTCTGCTAGTGCTTTTGAAGTTAAAACTATGCTTTCCCATGAATTACTGGTAAATTGAAGTTCTGTATGGGCCATTGTGAGTAAAATAGATGCATGAGAAAGAAATTTTTTTGATCTGGAGGTAGACAGAAATTTTAGTGCTTTAATTAATGCACAAAGTAATATTTTCTAAACAACAGTGAATTCAAACTTTCCAATAGCATTCCCATGACTGATGGAATCTTTACCCTCTCTCTCTTGTTTAGACTTTAAAGGCAAATTTGTGTAAGTACTTTTAGAATGTCAACATACCTATTTTTTACATTATGGACTGCATCTACAGAAAAGACCGCCTTGTTGGACACAACCTATTCAATCTCTAATGACATACTCTGTGATAAGAAAGCCAGCTCTGACCACCTTTTCAAACTGGTTTGAAAAAAATTGAAAATCTTGACTTATTATTCCAAAGAAAGTTATGGCTGGTACATAGGCATCAACTGCATTATTAATAACCAAGTTTTTTTTTTAGAGTATGAGAAGAACAAATTATGTATGGCACATACGCAATAGTTATCGAATCTTTATATAGTTTTTTAACACCACCTTTAATTCTACTAATTACACTGGCGCCATCATAGATCAGGCCTTGTATCTTCTCTGAGTTTTAACCTTGCATGGTCAGCCAATCAATTATGATAAAAACAATTTTTGATTTTTGTGATAAAAAGACATTTTAATGCTTTAGATATATCAGAAATAATTTTATTTTGAATTATAGGGCTAGAACCAAAACTCAAAAAATTTACCCGCTGATATTATTTTGCGGCGACCTTGAAAAGGCATGCAATCTTTTACAAGGGCAATATAATGCTAATGACTCGCCAAAAAACCTTTCTCCAAAAATTCAACTGTTCTTTTATTCCATTTTCACGATCTTTATCAAAACCGTTTCCAGATTTCCATCTAGCAATGAAAATAGAAGCAGATATTTGGATGCATGACTTTTCATGCTGTTTAATTTTTTTTATTTAGATAGTGAGTTGATCCAGTTACACGGTTAATTCCCAATTAAGATTCAAATCACTTCAATCAGCAAACAACTAATAAGACTTACAATAAAGCCGACCTATGCCTTAGAAAAAAACAAAGCCAATTGCGATTAACTTTCAAGTTTCCAGAAGAGTAAAACTAGTAAAATGATTTTCAAATACTGATAACCAATCTTTGCTTTTCTCAAATGATCTTACTGGATTACAGGGTCCAAGCTACTGTAGTCTATCAAATTGGAACTATTTATTTTTTGAGGAAAGATACCACCATCAGTTAGAAATTCAGCTGACAAAGCAAATGAATTCATTTGTATATCTTTCTGATACATGTGTTCACATGTTATATGAACACATGTATTATAAAGATATTCACAAAGTATCAGAAAAATATTCCCAGGTCAAGTTGTTTCCTTTTTGCAACAGCAACTTTGCTTTTTGTTTTTTTTCTTTCTGTTTTGCTGCTCCTGAAAAATATAACTTTTTCATCTAAAATGCATAGAGGAACAACTACAGTGTATGTAGGGTTGCAAAGTTTCCAGAAATTTTCTACTTTGGAAATATTCCTGAAATTTTTTAAAAAAGATTCATTTTATTTTAAAAAGTTATTTTATAATTAATAGGTAAAATTTAATGTCTTAATTAAGCAGTTGTTATGGACAATTTTATGATAAAATATTGTGAAGCAAATGGTACAAAATTTAGAAAAGAAAGCCTCCTTTGAAAAACAATTTTTTGGTATTTTTTAAACTTTTTTATTATAACTATAAGTAGCCACTATGATCATTTGTTTTCAAAATTTTTTAAAACTGTTTTATCCTGTTGTTATGCATATTGATGTTCATTGCCTTTTCAAATGTTTTATATATAATTTTACAGTTTCAAGTTAATGAAAACTGTAAAATTATATATAAAACATTTGATATAAATATTTGCAGTATTTAATAATTTTTTCTTGATTTAAAGATGTTATTAATTAATGAAAGGCAAAAAGTAAGAAAATTTTTTTTGCTAAATTTTTACTATTTAAAAATAAAGTTATCAATAAAGATAAAGAATTAATGATTTTGTGGTCATTAGTCAACTACTATGTTTAAATAAATGTGTTTAAGCTGTAACGCAGCAGCTAGCATGCTTGCTTAAAAGCTAGAGATCTGTTGTTCAACATCACCTCTGGGCTTTACAACATTGGTATGGAAGGGGGCAAAAACTCTATTTCAAATGTGCTTCCGCGGTTTTCTATTATAAGACCGATAAATTGGGGCACGAAAAATAAAAAAAATAAAAAAACTCTCACCACAACCTTGCTAAGAGACTTTTGACTTTAAGATGACATTTAAAAGAAAACAAAAAAAAAAAACTGCTTAAGTTATGTTACTTTTACTTTTAGTACTTTTGTAAAACATTAAAAGTAGATGTTTTCCATGTTAGCTTGTTTTTTGTGCTTGTGTATAACATCTAGCTTTTAATTTTCTCAACTACCATGTAAATTATTCATAAAAAATGCAAAGAAGTCTTTTTTAGAATAATGTCTTTTAAAGTCTTTTTTAGAATAATAAATTTTGTTGTGTATTATTTTTGTAGAGTGTTCTAAAGGAGCAACGATTTTTTGTGTACATACTGCATATAAAAACGATTTTAGGGGGAGGGTGTGTGGGGGAAGGAGATGTTGTACCCCCTCAAAGAAGGTGATTTTCAAGTTATAGTCAGTTTTTAAACCAATTTAGTTGGCTAGTCTGGTATTTGACACAATTCAGTTGGGTGAATTTTAGTTTTTAAGAATTTCTTTTACTTTTATTTTTAAGAAACTGTACTTTTTACAGATTCCTTCCCCCCCCCCCCCCCTTCTTAATTTTTTAATATATTGATTTATAAAGTCAAAAGTCTCCTAGCAAGGTTCTGACGAGTGAGACTATTTTTTTAATTTTTTTATTTTTTGTGCCCCAAGATGTCGTTACAGTCTCATAACAAAACACAGTGGAAGCACATTTATAAAGAAGAATATCTCTAAATATCTCTAGCTTCTGAAGCAATGACGCTAACACTTCTGACGCTTCTGAAGCAATGACGCTAACACTGTGCTACAGCTTAAACACCCTTATTTAAACAGAGCAGTGGACTTATCTCAAAATACTAGTTCTTTATCTTTTATCTTTACTGATAAAAGATAAAGAACTAGTATTTTGAGATCATAAGTCCACTGAACTTTGTTTTTAAATAGTTAAAATTTAGCAAAAAATTTTTTTTCATTTTTTGCCATTGCCATTGTTAATAACACCTTTTAAATTGCCATTGTTAATAACACCTTTTATTCAAGAAAAAATTGTATAATACTGAAAATGTTTATATCAAATGTTTTTTTTATATAATTTTACAGTTTTCAATAACTTGTCGGTCAATCTAATAGATATTGAAGAATACCGCAATGAACATCAATATGCATAGCAACAGAATAAAACAGTTTTAGAAAATTTTGAAACCAAATGATCATAGCTGCTGCGTATAGTTATAATAAAAAAACTTAAAAAATACCAAAAAATTGTTTTTCAAAAGGGCTTTCTAAAATTGGTAAAAGTGGTAGAGCGCTCGCTTCATAACCGAGTGTTTTCAAGTTCGATCCCCACTACGTCCCTGGTAGTACCGCGCTCAACTCGTTTCTCCGCGCAGCAGCCTTGTTCGTCAAGGTTCGTGTTTTGGAGTTATAGAGTTGAGAGAGGGTTATAGCCACAAATAAGTAGCCTCCTTGTCTGTAGTGGCCTTCTCGGCCTTGAGGAGGTGTATTAAAATTAAAAAAAAAAAAAAAATTATTTACTTAATGCAAATATCTAAATATTTTTTCCAATAAGTTAAAAAACAATATCAAAGAATCAAAGAACAATTTGCTTACTTGTAATTATACTTTACATGTAATTTCATTACTTTGTAAATAAACTTTTAAAAAGTTTGCGGTTTAATGCTTTTCTACACTAACTTGTAACACTGTTCACAAACATTGTAACACAATGAACTTGTAACTTATTTAATAAACTGTCCAAGTTTTAAATAAATGTTTTATTCAAAATTTGAACAGTTTTGTTTTAAAACAAGCAATTTGTTTGCAAGATAATTAAACCAACTTTTCTTTGGTTTTGTTTAATTATTATAACTCCTCCATAAATGTTTTGCCAGGTCAAGTAAAATTTTTCTGTTAAAATATCTAGGGGCCATTTCATTACTTTAGGGCCCCTGGCATTTGTCCAAACTGTCTATATGGTTGTTATGCTACTAAATATACTATTTTTTATAGCTAAAACAAAACTTTAAGGTGAATTTTTAGTTAAAAAAGAAAGTTGGGCATAAAATTTTTAAATTTACAATTTTTATCTCTGCTTGTTGTTTTAAAAAAATTTTTTACATTTGTTTCAGTTGCATTTACAAATCTATATTGGATAAAACAACTAATGGTTTCAAAAGTCAATTTAGTAAATCTTAAAAAAGTGCAAAAAAAAAGTATAGCAAAAAATTAAAATAAAATATAAAAAACATATAGGAAGGTTTCATAGACAATGAGGAAATGTTTAGAAAATAATAAGCAAAGTGCAAGTATTTTCAGTAAAAACGCTTCTAGATTAGTAAACATTAAAAATTACAAACAATGCAACTAGACAAAATTTATAAAATATAATAAAAAAACCTCTCCATAAGTATCAAATTGTTTATTTGTGGATTTTTTACCAGTACCACCAAAACCAAAACTTTCGCTATCGCATCCTGGTAAAAAATAAATTACACAATATCTAATATAAAATAACAACAGAGCAATCACTTGTTGTTTTTACAATAATGTCAATAAAAATTACAACATTTATCCAAAAAAAGTGCTTTAAAAGTTGTCTCTTTGTAAAATTATTAATTTTTAAAATATCAATATTTTTTATTTGATTTAACTACAATAAAAAGATTTAACTACGATAAAAAAGATTTAACTACGATAAAAACTCACAATTTCAAGCGGCAAAATAACTAGATTTGTTATAAACATTGATAAATTGATAAATATTATTATAATTCATTTACCAACTTCCAACGTTGCATTTTCTGTTGAAAATCCTACTCTGCATAACCCTTCATCAGTCACCTTTACTTCATAGTAATAGCTACCTGAAAAAATTTTTCCACTGAAAACTATTTTATTTTAAAAAAACGTTTTTTTATTATATATTCTTAAATATTTATCATAATTTTGTTGTTATGCATGTTAATATTAATGAATTAACCAAACATATTTCGTTACATGTCAGATGAGATTCTTACAATGCATAAATTAAACATAATAAATATGCTTAGCTTTATTTTTAATATAAAAACCTATATAAAGAGCAGCTCTAGTTTACACACACACACACACACACACACACACACACACACACACACACACACACACACACACACACACACACACACACAAACACACACACACAAACACATGCACACACACACACATATATATAATATATATATATATATATATATATATATATATATATATATATACAAAAATAATAAAAAATGCTTCAAATAATAAGAAATTCTAATAAGAAACCTTTTGATACACCAAGTGTTGATCTAGATCCTTGCCACTCTTTATGTTCTCGTGATTGACAGAGTAACCCATCTTCTGATATTGCTTTAAAACAAAAACAAAAAAAGTTTATTAAACATTAAGTTTTATACACAAAACAAAAATTCTTAGTAATAAGTAAAAAGAGAAGACATAATGCAAAAAAATTCACCAAATGAGCTGCTTCTGTCCAACTTGCTCATTTCCCATTTTCCTAAAATTATAACTTAAGTTAAAATGTCAGAATAGAGGTTTGAAAAGAGAGACAACCTATTTAAACTGACAAAACTAAGGTTAGATAATAACATAACACATTAATTTAATTTAATTAAAAGGAAACTAATTAAACTTGATATTTTTAAAAAAACCACAAAACTGAAAATTAAAAGAGCATTTTTCAAAACATTCTGAATATTTTTAAAAAAACTTTTAAATTTTTGTTTTTATTTTTTAAATAATAACATTGTGAATGTTTTTTTTTTTTTACTGTATAACATGACAAGTGTGTTGCTACATTGACATAGCACTCCCTTATAGCTTGCTATAAGAGAGTGCAATGTCGATGTAGCAACACTCCAGCAGCAACTTTAGCAGCACTCCCTTATAGCTTGCTGCTACAGGGGAGTGCTGCTAAATCAACTATCTTATAGTCCTCTGCTACAAGAAAGTGCTGCTACATTGACTGAGGATTTGGTTGGGGTAGATAGTCTATCAAATACTAAAAAAAAAAACTTTATAAAAAAAAAAAATTACTGGTATTTAAAACAATATTTAAAAAAAAAAATTTATACCTCACCTGACAATGGCAAAATTAAAAATAACCAAGCAAGAGTATATATATAAATATTACATAAATATTATATATATATATATATATATATATATATATATATATATATATATATATATATATATATATATATATATGTATATATATATATATATATATATATATATATATATATATATATATATATATATATATATATATATATATATATATATATATATATACCTCAATAATCTCGATCTTCCTTTATTTATGAACTGTAATGTATTGCATGAGTCATCTACCCTTCATCTTCTAGGATTAACTCTTACTTTCGATCTTTCCTAGAAACCATATAACAAATAAATTGCAAAATTAGCATCTCTAAGGTTGCTATCTCTTTATCGCTCTCACCACTTTCTTACTCTGGATTTTATTCTTTATCTCTACAAATCTCAAAGCTGTCCTTGTATGTAATACTGTTACCATATATAGGACAGATCAAGGTGCAAAAACGAATTGTAAACATAGTTGGAACATAGTCAAAAATACGGTCCAATCATTATCACATCGTCATAATGTTGCTTCTCTTTTTCTTTTATATAAATAAAAGAGAAAGAGAAGGCGCCACTTATGCCACCTAGTAAAATTCATTCTTGTGTTACTCATCATTCAATATAGTCTTATTC